ACACACTGACAACCTTTGACTTCCTGTCTATTTCACTATTATACTCAAGAGAGAAGTTATTCTTTCTCACTAGAAACTCACTAGTTACTATATTGGTGACCACACGAGCTTCAAAAGTCGTTCATATCAAGTACATAAATCAAACGGCAATTGTAGGAATATGTGAAACATAAGTCAATAACAAACTTAAAATCCAATCATATGCCACCATCGCCGCATTACAGAGCTCCCTTTGTACTCAAATTAGAACGAGGAAATGGTTTCAACTCACCTCTCATATGCCACCACACAACATTCTCCGACAATTCAACGGATCTTCGTGCTTTCCCGTGGCATGACACGTTCTTCGGAGGAATTCACTGGAATATCCTGAGATTAAGTTCTTCATCCTATGCACACTTTCCTTTCCTTCACATATTCTCTACCCTTGAAGCCCACTAGAAGAACCAATTGGGTTCAATTCAGACCATCACGTCCACACGTCAAACAACACTCTTTCCCTACCAGCAACTCACGCTGTGTTCGGGGTGCGGATCTCACGGCGATCGACGCTCCCTCGATGACTTCCTCCTCCTTCAAAACTCCTTCATCAGAAGCATAAAAGAACCAGCTCCGCTTACAACCTGCTCAAACCAACACACAGCCTCGACCTCCCAAATATCTTCGCCGATCACATCCGCAACCTACAACCACTATCCTACAATAGCCGCTCACACAAGACATCAGCTCTGCTGCTCGCTGCAAGCTGCCTCCTCAATCACTCCGGCGTTGCGCTGCAGTAGAGAGGATCATCCAATTCCGCCACAACCCCCTTAGTATCTCCACGATGAACACTCAACCGCGGGTAGCCGCCACAATCCTAGCGCTGCTGTCGCTTACACTGTGTGCTGCCGCAACAGCAAGGGACCTTGGGGACTCCACCTCTTCGATCGACATACCTCGCGATGGGTACAAGCTTGGGCATACGCTACACGCCAGGGGCTAACAGCACTACCGGTTCAACTTCACGGCGTGGGTGGGGTTCAACGCCACGGCGAAACTGTACGACCAGCACAAGCAGGAAATTTGCGTCCACCACTTTCTTCTGCAGGCTGACGCTCTGGGCAGGCGATCCACCTAGGAGTCTCTGCCGAACAAGATGCGCGGTGTGCCTCGCAGCAGCATGACCTGCAAGAGCGTGGCGTAGGTGGCGTTGGAGCAGGAAAGCATACCGTGGGTTTTGCTGAAGTCAACCCGGTCCGCCGGCGACGAGAAGTACTTCTGCGGAGTGGCGTTTGTTCGACGGATCAACACCAAGCACGTCCTTGCGTTAAGAAGCACGATGAGAGCCCTCGAGGGAGATGTGAAGAAGTCGGCATACACATGCGAATACTCATTCTATGTGCCAGCGTAGCGCCACATGAGGAGTCCATGTTCGCATCCGGCGCAGCTCAAAATGGGCACAAGATTTACGGAGGGATTGGTGACCATGACCAAAATGGAGGGCTCAGGTGAAATATGTCTGCATCACAGAATGGATCGATCGCTCCGATCTGGAGCAGGAAGTGCTGTTGCAACGGCTTCGGCGCCAACGTCATGAATTTGGTTGCAGTGGACAGTGCTTCTGAGTTAACAATCCAGATCAGTCAACACTCATGTTTGCTGGAAACAGTGGTCCTCGTTGAAGAGCAGAAACCATTCCCCGCACTTGCAGTGAGATATGCACGAGACAAAACAGTAACAAACGCTCTACTCCACAAAGCTGCTACACAACGTTCTTAATTCAGATCGGGAACTGATGTGCAGTGAGATAAGGTCCCTTGTTGGAGGGTATCCGCAATCAGTTGAGTTGTTCACAGGAGCTGAAGTGAGGTGGTCCAGACTAAGGAAACTCATATCCTTCCCCTGTGATGGCGACATCCAGTTCTGTGCCACATCCTGAGACAGACGCAACATATGAGCAGTAGGTCCAGTTAGACTTCGTTACTGAGTGATGACAGGGAGCTCTTCGTGATTGTCATGGTAAGAGCAGAACGCTGTGCCTACAACCTAGTTGGGATAGTGGATGAGCTTGCAGGGATTTATCGAACAGGAAGTAGGATCAGTGTCAGTCACCGTTACAAGAGTTCTAGTGCCGAGTTAGAGTAGCTGACGATCGGCTGCAGAAGCCCCAGTAGTTCACAGATGATTGTGCTATCACCCGGAGTTGCTGCTCAGGTGCGGTTGGTATCACAGTGTATGTACATAGTTCATAAAAGAGGAGTAACTATTAACAAAGACTTACATTTTCACGTATAATCAAACCATTTTGTGGTATTTTAGTATGATTTCATTTAATTGTCTTGTAAATTCTGGTAACAAGTAGGTGTTGAACCATCTATTATTTGTCCCATCTTTTGAGAAGGGTAGCTTCATGATCATAGTGCTTTGACAATTTGTTTTGAATTGTTGACCAACTAATTTGTCTATAATCTATTAGTCCATTCTAACTCATGGTTCTTACATTCAGATTACTTCAAGTTTATTTTTTAAAAATAAAGTTATTTCTTTGAATTGATATGGTCTAAAAATATAAGCTTTTCAATTTATGGAAACTTTTGAAAGAAATAAGGATTTATTTTTTTATTTTTTTATTTTTTTAAATACTTCTTTAAAGTATCTATTATTACAAATATCATCATTGGCATTTGTAATTAGGAGAGTAAGATGACTTAGGTAGAAGTAAAGGTAAATAAATTTGTAAATATCTTATAGAATTTTTTTTTTAAAAGATTTATAGATATGGATTTGACCTTACAAGTATGTGATTGGTAGGTTAAAAACTTAGCCAACATATTAACCATGTATTACACATATTAACAACTTATTTTAGAAGTTGATGACATATTACATGTATTGGCCACTTATGGCACAAATTAGCTATGTGGCACATGTAAGGAAAACTTAATTTACAAATTAGACATGTGTTCCACAAATTGAGTATGTGTCAAATAGCCTATAGAACATTGCTACATAGCTCTTTTGTTAGATAATATATGTAGAAGTAAAATGATGCTTTCTTTACTCTTTTCAACGCCTTTCTTAGGTTCTTGTTTTAATTCAAGAATCTTTAGTCTCTTTATATTTGGCAATAATCATCCTAATTTCTATCTTATATATATATATATATATATATATATATATATTTAATTTATATATATATTTTTAATTTTCAGTGTTATAAGAGTGTATTGTTTTTTTAGAGTTGCATTATAATTCAAAACCTTGATGAGATTATTAATTTTTATAATAACTCTTAAAAATTATGAAGAGTGTATTATTCTTTTAGAGTTGCATTAAGATTTCAAGCAACATTCTAATCTAGTATAATAACTATCAAGACATCTTTAAAAAAAAAAGAATGGAAATATTCTTTTAAAGCATTGTTCTAATAATTACTCAATTGATCTTTAAGAAGGAATTAAACTACCATTTAAACCAATCTACAAATTATCTCAAAATGAGTTGATTTTATTCAATGAGTATATTATTCAGAATTTGGCCAAAATTTTCATTTAATATTCAAAATCTTGAGTAAGAGCTCTTATTTTAATTATAAAAAAATAGATAGATCATTGCAAATATGTGAAGATTATTAAAGATTCAACAAAATTACTATCAAGGATATGTACTTTTTATCTTTAATATGAAGATTTTTTATCAATTAAATCAAAAAAAGATCTATACCAAAATAGATCTACACAAAGCATACAACTTAATATGCATAAAAAAATATCTCTATATAGTTCATTAGTTAGATTATATATATATATATATATATATATATATATACATAAATGGATAAAAGATTAAGGCTCTCTACACTCTTATTAATGCTTTTTTCATGTTCTTGTCTCAATTCAAGAATTTTTAATTTCTTTGTATTTATTTAGCAATAGTCACTCTAGTTTCTATTTTATATCTATCTTTGATTTGTCTATTTTTTTTTTAATTTTAAATATCAAAAGAGTGTATTGCGTCTTTAGAATTTTGTTATAATTTATGACACATTCTTCAAATAATTTGAAGTAAGTTTATAGAAAAGAGATTTTGTTCAATCTTGGATTTTTTGTGCTTATTAGTACTTCCAAAATCTATATAAGATTGTTTTAGGTTTTAGAAAAGAATATAAGATATAATTAATATCAATACATAGAATTTTTTGTTCTCTCCATATACTAACTGCCATACTTTTATGGTATATAAACCAAATAAACATAGTTTCTTTTTAAGATTTAGACCAAATATCATGTTATTTGAATGAATTTGTTTTTTTCAAATAAGAAGTTTTATTTTTTAGCAATAAGATTGATTGAAGAAAAAAATTCTATTATCGTATTTATTTATATAAATAAATAAATTGGAATTTAAAAAAATTGACTAAAAATTCAATCAAATGATTATCTCATGATATCATTTGTGTTTAAATTAATTATGATGAAATTTTTCATTTTTAGAAAATGAATGCAAATTTAATTAGTTGAGTGGTGTTTTCTGAGATTCCATTTTTTTTTTCTATTTCAAAAAATATATAATAATTAATTACGGTCATTTTTTTTTTTTTTTTTTTTTTTTTTTTTTAAAACAAATCTATTGTAATTTAGATAAAGCTAAAAACACTCAAATGAAGTTTGATACTATGATTTAAAAGTTATCTATTTAGACTTTTAAAAATCATGGTAAAATTATTCCTATCACATAAACCCCTACCGATAAATAAGTAAATAAATTCAGTATTAAAAATGGTCCTACTGAAATAAAATTATTGAATAATTTTTCCATGATTTTTAAAAGTCTCAATTCAATAATTTTATTTCAGTAGGACCATTTTTAATACTGAATTTATTTACTTATTTATCGGTAGGGGTTTATTTCGTGTCGTAAAGGACAATGTGTGAACACGCCTTTAGACCATAACTCCTTGTTCGGATGGATGATTTATCATAATATCATCCATTTGAGTGGATGCATTACACGGTCTTAGTGCGAAGGACAACGGGCTTCCAAGCCCGGTGATCTGTGAGTGGCGACGTAGCCGCCGTTTCCCCTGCTCGCAATGGCTATGGCAGCAGGTTTGCAAATCGACGAGGCTGGGCTTTAAGGAGTGTGCGGCGGAGCGGGGCTGTGAATTCCAGTGCACGGAAACGGAGATTTCACTGTGCGTTTGCATTGGAGATGGCAATGCGATGGCGATCGTCTTGGCATCTTTTCAGATTTCGCTGCAATGGCATGGTTTCCAGAGCGACGCTGGATCCCGTCTCCTCAGGGACGAGAATTTTGTCAACAATGGGATTTGATGATAATTCTGGTAGGATTTTTGTTGATGAAGAGAGTAGAAGGAAGAGCATTACGGCTGCAAGCAATTTTCAATGTGAATCAAGTGATTTGTTGTTCTCACCATTTGTCAGTGCAGATGTTGGCTACGATTGCTTACCGGGTTTTGGCGATAAAGCGATGTATTCTACACTTAGTGATCATTGTCGTAGCTCCCGAAGTTCGATGATTGCCAAAGTCAATGTAGCGAGGCAGATAGAATCAAGACCTTTGTCTGCGAGGAGTATGGGGACAATGGTGCGTGAGGAGGTGGAGGGAGACGGAGAGGTGCTTCTGCTGCGCTACCTGGAGAAGCTCAAGAATTACGAGAAAGAGGGTGTGCCTAAAGGCGCTGGGGAAGACTCGGATTCGGGCTTCGATCTTGAGCGTATGAAGCGGCTACTTTCGCGACTGGGGAATCCTCTTTCGGCATATCCAGTTGCGTCTACCCTGTTCTCTTTTTGGACTGCTTGACTCTTCTTCTCTTCATGCGAATGAGCTTTTTGCGCAATATCTGAGCTCTCTTTTTAATATCGTATGCAAAATTTGATTTTAAATTTGAGTATTATTAGATGAAGAATGAGAGGTATGCTTGTTGTGTCCTTGGAGCACACTGATATTACAATTATCTACATGCATTCTTTAATTTAGGAGATTGATTACCGTAATTTGGCATCCTCTTTTACCTTGAAAGTTTGTTTTGTAGTCTTGCTAAATGCATGATTTACAGCTAAGATCGATTAGGGTTGTCAGGTGGTGCATGTTGCTGGAACCAAGGGCAAGGGTTCGACGGTGAGCTTCATCAGTAGCGTCTTGCGAGCAGCAGGACTACGTGTGGGAACTTACACGAGGTTTCTCCCTTTATAAAAATTTATTTATTCGTAGTTTATGCAATGCTCTTCTGTCTTAGTGACACGGAAGAAACCGAATAATGTGCAGAAGAATGTGTTGTCATGCACTGAGATTTGAAGATACGGCTTGAACATGTGATGTTAGCGGTAAAGTTGAGTTCTAAAACCTGACAAACTTTCTTAGGGATCAGGTGATTTTTCGATACCTTGATATGATTTGTTTTTTTTTATCTACAGTCCTCATGTCACGAGTATACGAGAAAGGATAACTGCAGGCAAAAATGAAGGACCTATCTCCGCCAATTCTTTGAAGAAGCTGATGAATGATTTGCAGGCAACTATAGATGAAGCTATTGCTGAAGAATCAGGATTGCTTACGCACTTTGAGGTGCCACTCAGGTGACTATATCCCAGGTCGCGTCGTCGTAGAGCTATTGTCAACAGCGTTGTTAAATTAAAATCCTTAGTAATGGTAGGATTTTGGTACACCAAGACCTTGACTTTAGCGATAGTCTGAACCTAGTCTCTAATGTTCCTGCTCAGTAAATGTTTTTAGGAAGGATGGGGAAGCCTGAGGGTTTTTAGAGCTTTGGTATCTAGGTCTTTGTATTTTTTGATTGGACCAATCTTTGTTGATGTTTTTCTTGTTCAACTCTTCACATATATAATGCTCACGGTCACTTGAGCTTCTGCAGGTTTTGACGGCCCTCGCTTTCACACACTTTGCTAGAGAGAAAGTAGACGTGGCCGTAGTTGAGGTATGAAGACGCTTTTGCGATGGCTTGGAGTACACTTAGAATATCTTAAATTTTCTGTACATTTGTAACTTTTTGTACTCGATGACATCATGGACCTACAATTATGACTGCAGGCATATGATTTAGTTCGTCTTTAAAATGGACAATGTTCTCAGACAGGTTTAGGAGGCGCACGGGATGCTACGAATGTGATATCAGCTGAAGAACTTGCAGTAGCTGTTATTGTTGGCATTGGCTATGAACATTTAGCAGCCTTAGGCGGGACTTTAGAGTCCATCGCCCTTGCCAAGTCTGGTATTATTAAGGAGAATCGCCAGGTATGTACTCTCATTGGTTCGCATTCGGATAGATTATTCCTGCCGGACGAAAAATGTTTCACCGTAGTCTACTTGTTGGGATATGAACAGAATGTTGTCAAATGACTTCAATGTCCAACCTTTTCTTATATATTGTTGTTTCTCAGGTGATTGTCGGCCCACAGAAGTATTCACAGGTTTATGATGTTCTTGAGAAGGTGGCCGCTGCAAAATCAGCACCATTAATTTCTGTATCTAGATCATTGATAAATTGTAAAACTGGAATTTTGTTCACTCGTAGTGGCCATCCTTTTCAACTTTGCGATTTGGCGATTCAAAATCCACCTGGGGTAGGATTTGGAGCGTCAAATAAGGTGACAGCCGTCTACGTCCTTTCTTAGGTTTACTCCAAGTTCCTTTATTTCACTGTTTTACTCCTGTTGAAGTGTGGTTCATCTCTGCAGTTGATGATCCCATATTTTTGCATATATAGGCAATGCTTCTAAACCAAAGCGTAATCAAGAGCAAAAATCTGAGTGGTCTTCGTTCTTTGCCAGGTTTGGAAGCTTGGAAATGTGAAGCTTCGTGTATTGGGAGCACACCAGCAGGATAATGCTATCACTGCTGTGTATAGCCTGCTTGCCCTTAGGCATCAAGGTATGACCGGGAGCTTGTACCATAGTTTTTCCGTTAGTGTTCCTCTCCTTCGGAAGGATAATCTTCTAACCCCCATTTGACAAACTGTCCCCTTAATCATTGAAAAATTGAAATCTATCTAGCTTCTGTTAGCTTTGCAGAAGCTGACAAACGTTTCTTTTGCTTGTCTAAGGATTATTTATCACAGGCTTGTAAATTATTCTTGGATGAGCATGGAACTAACGCAACTAGCAAGGACTTGCATGGTTTCCATTAGCCAAAATCATGAATGATTCATCTGATTTTTTTTCTTGAATTATTCAGGATGGGAAATTCCAGATTCGGCTATACGGATGGGACTGGAAGCCACTACAATACCGGGAAGATTTCAGGTTGTTGAGTCAGACAGTTCCAAGGCACTCGGTTGTCTTTCTGCCAGGCTCATACTTGATGGAGGTAATCAAAATTTTCACTCCTATTCACCTGTTAGTATCGATCTCGAAGGACCGCATCATATCTTTCTATCTACCCCTAAGAATGTGCTTGATGACTATGCCCTACTTTTCCACCAGCACACACAGAAGACTCTGCGATAGCACTTGCAAAGACACTGCGAGAGGGTTTTCCCGATGCAAGTTTGGCGTTTGTTGTAGCAATGGCTTCTGATAAGGACGAACACTCTTTTGCTCGAATTTTGTTGACAAGTAAGAATTTCGTTCCTTTTTACGTATGGAAGCAAACCATTGATGGTGCTTGAGGTTGAATTTATATGCTCTAGGTCATGCTTGTTCACCTCTAACATAGACCTTGTTGGCATGTCTGTGTAGAGGCCAAACCTGACGTCGTGGTGACGACAAGAGTACCTGTAGCAGGGAGCTACAATAGGTGCCGTACAGCACAAGAGCTTGCTGAATGCTGGTCCCAAACGGCCCAGGGTCTGAATCTCCCTTATCATTTTGAGACAAGCAAACAAAAACTACTACAAGGATTTTCTTCTGTTGGATCTTCTGAACATCAGCAAAGTGGCGCTAAGACTTCAAGCACAGAAGAGGCCAGTAAAGAAGACGGAAATTCATTGCTAGTGTCTAGTGTAGAACCTATAAACGCTGCAATTTCCAAGGCAGCGGCAGCGTTGGAGAATAGACACAGTGAAAGTAATAAGCAACTCATTGTTTGTGTAGCTGGGTCTCTTCATGCTGTCGCTGCTACACTAACTCTCATTCAGGAAAATCGAAATCAGCATTGAGGTATCTAGGTGCACTGGCAATAAAGCCGGACTGCATTCTACTTAATATTGCGCATCAATGTTTCCTAGTAATTTCAGAAATAAGATCCATTGCACCTACTCTGACTTGAGGTGTGTCGGGCAGTGATAGTATATGTACTTCACACTCACACCGAAGTGGTTGGAGATGGAGACTTCTATTTTGTATACAATTGTACAATCCGTGTATTGATGTCTTTTATTGAACATGTATTCATGCTCATGTGATCATGTGAGCATATTCTACCTCCAAGATCTTTCTTCCTGCCTTATTTTTTAAACAAAGAGCAACTAGTCAAGTAACATAAGCATTGTACTAAAAGAGCTTGGAAAGATGACTTTTTTTGTGTATTAATAAAAGAAATGTGTTGAATCTTAGTGCTTCTTTGGGGATAGAGTGTTAGTGATTGAGGTATAAGTAAATTTTATTACATCAAACCCTAAGTTTAGTTTAGATAACTAGTTGATTTGTGATGAGAATTATTATTGCATAATGTATGTAAGAGTCCTTCTTTCACACGTCTATTTTAAAAATGAATATATATAATAATTGTGTAGTAAATTGAAGTTTATCACAACAAATTTGTTGAAGATCAGCAAGTGCTTGCTTAGTTACAACCACATAGAGATTAAGCATAGTATGTTGCTAATAGTCAAAAGACAACAAAGAGTTAAAGTAAATTATTGTGGTGGCACCAAGGATTTGTAGGTAGCGGCTAGGTTAAAAAAGAACCTAGGGTTTAGATGGATGAAGTAGAAATGGATGTAATATCAAAAAGATGGAAGTTACTTTGTTAATTAGGAAACTACCATGTATAAGTAAAGTGTTGGAAGTAAGAATTATCTTTTTCTACACTTCTCTTAGACTATAATCCTTGCTGATGCTAAGTATTTGTAGCTTTTAGATTTCTTTTCTTCAATAGGTTATGGACCCACTTACATTTGCTTGAGTGTTTTTTGAAGTTTTTTGAAGTGATTTTGTAAGTGTGGAGTAGATCAAGGTGTTGTTGCTGATGTTAGGCTTTAGAAGAACCTAACTTTCTGATTTAGATCTAGATTTAGATCTTAGTTTGCTCTTACTTGTGGTTAAAAGCATTTTGGTGTTGGCATTTTGTTTTTTCACCTTAAGGCAAAGTTTGCATTGTGCTATTGCTGAGATAGATCCTTGGTGATCTAACTTTATAATTTCATATCCTAAAGTTGCTGATTGTGCTTAAAAGGCTTCTTATGGTGTATAAAGGTGATTTGTGAGCATAAGAGAGATTTTAGAGTGGCAAATCAGATTAGAAACATTAAGATAAACCATCAAATTTGTCAAAAGTCTTAGAAGTGAAGTTGAGAGTGTTTTTTGAGAGTAAAAACACTAGTTTGTTCATAAAGAAGGATTCTGTGATTCTAAGGCAGCAAAACCTTCTTGCTGATTTTGAGAGCATAAAGACTTCTTCCTCCAATCGTTTTTGATATAATTCTTTTTTAGACATGGCTTCAAATGAGGGTGAAGGATTGAGAGTTATTGAGAAGTTTAGAGGTGAGAATTTCTACCATTGGAAGATAAAAATGGAGCTTTTGTTGGTGTCTTTGGATCTTTGGGATATTGTAGATGAAAGTGAAGAGGCTCCATGCAAAGATGCTGATATGAAGGAGAAGAAGGAGTTCAAACGTCGTGAAAAGAAGGCTTTTGGATTGATTGCAACCAATGTGGATGAAGCCAACTTCTTCCACATTATCTCTTGCAAAGGACCAGCGGAGGCATAGAAGACTCTTTGCAACATCTATGATAGCAAAAACTTATCCAACATCATCTATACAAGGAGGAAGTTCTTCACTTGCAAGATGGAAGAAGGTGAAGACCTCATGGCTCATGTCAATAAGGTAAAGGCTCTTGCAAACCAACTAGTAATTGTTGATAAGCCTTTAGAAGAAAATGACATTGTCATGACCTTGCTAATGAGCCTTCCTGAATCCTACAACTACCTTATTGTGGCATTGGAATCCATCAAGCTAAAAGAGCTTACAATGGACTATATGATGGCAAGACTTGCCCATGAAGTAACCAAGAAGAAAGAAAAGGAGCTCCAAAGTAAAGATTCAGCACTCTACTCACATCAAGGCAAGGACATCTATCCAAATCAACAAGGTAATATCAAATCTTGCTTCATTTGTGGCAAAGTAAGCCATTTTACTCGAAATTGCTACAAAGGCAAAAAGATGGAGAAGAAGAATGCAAATAGTGTGAAAGATGAATTTGGAGGACAAGATTATGCATTCACGGCAACAAATGGAACCTCAATGGCTGCCATGTCAAGATGGATTGTGGATTCAGGTTGTTCCAAGCATATAACACCTAATAAGTATTCATTTGACACTTATGAGGCTATTCCAGCATCAAACGTGGTGTTGGCGAATAGTGGTACATGTGAAGCTATTGGAATTGGCTCTATTATGGTGGAGGTGGTTGTGAATGGACAAACCAATAGGATCAGACTCAAAAACGTCTTTCATGTGCCTAAGATGAAGCAAAATTTACTTTCGGTGAGTAAACTTATAATGGAAGGTTTTAAAGTTCAATTTGACATGAATGGGTGTTTTGTAAGAACATTGAGTGGAGATAAGGTCTTCAAAGGCTTGAAAGAGGGAAATTTGTACTACCTCATTTGTAAGAAGGTAAATAGAGTAGAGGTAGCCACATTTATTGAGTTTACATCAAATAAGGACAAGTTGAATATATGGCATCATCGCCTTGGCCATTTGAATGTGAAGAGCATGAGAGAGCTCAAGACTATAGTAAATGGCTTAGATCTTGGCAATACAAGCCAAAATGCAAAACAACTTGTATGTGAAGGATGCATACAAGGAAAACAACAAAAGGCCTCATTTCCAAGGAGTGTAACAACACGTGCTACCAAGTTGCTGGAGATTGTCCATTCGGATGTATGTGGACCTATGAAAAATACAAGTATTGGAAGATCAAGGTATTTTCTCACTTTCATTGATGATTATTCAAGAAAGATTTGGATCTACATTCTTAAAGCCAAGAGTGAATGCTTTTGGAGGTTTAAGGAGTTTAAAGGATTTGTTGAGAAACAAAGTGAATGCAAGATCAAGGTGCTATGTACAGATAATGGAGGTGAGTACATGTCTAAGCAATTTGATGTTTATTTGAAGAATGAAGGAATTTCTAGACAAACCACAACTCCATACACTCCACAACAAAATGGTGTTGTTGAAAGGGCAAATCGAACCATTTTAGAGATGGCAAGGAGCATGCTTCATGCTCAAAACCTTGGCTATGAGTTTTGGGCGGAAGCTGTGGTGAATGCTGTGTATACAAGAAATAGGTGTCCATCAAGTGCTCTTGCATCAATGACACCACAAGAAGCTTGGAATGGGAGTGTCACGGATATACATATAATTACCTACAAGAGTCGATAAAAGTATGTAAAAGTAGATAAAAGTAGGTTAATCATGCAATATCTTCTAGAGAAGCTTCTTAGAAGCTTCATAGACGTTGCTTTGACCTTAAAGGAGTCCATAGTTGATTTTTAGGTTAGAAACTTGGTCAACAAGTTAGCCATGTGCCACACATGTTGGTAGCTTGAAGATCAAGCTAACTACGTAGTCCATTCATAGAAAACTTGCCTTGCAAGTAAAGACATGTGGCTTAGAAAGTCAACACATATTGGAGGTCTTATAGAATATCACCACATGGCTTCTAATTAGATAGTATATATAGAGGCAAGAGTGAAGCTCTCTTCACTCTTGTCAACTCCTTTCTTGCTTCTAGTCCAGGTTCAAGAGTCTTTAGTTTCTTGTCTTGTGGCAATAGCCATTCCAGTTTCCTTTTAATATACCTACTTGTTTATATTTTGACTTATTATATCGAGATAGCCTTTTTGTGTATATTTTTCCTCATCGAGTCTTTGTCCTTGACAGATTGACAAGAGTACACTTAGAATATCAGAGCTTTGTTTTTCTTGAGTGAGAGTGGATTACCCCTTCCTCTTGACAAGACATAAGCGTATTAGAAGTTTGCGGATTACCCACTTCTAAACTAATATTGTTCTTAGTATCTTCTTTGTTATCAAGTCTTTCTTTTCTTTTGTCTTGAGCAGTATCAAACAAATTTTTCTTCTTAGTGTCATTATGGCAGAGCTTGTTGAAATGAAGAGTGCAATGGTACAAATGTAAGAGCAAATGAGGGAGTTAATGCTTGCGATGCATCAACTCAATTCACCAACACATGAAAGAATAAGAATAGCAGAAAGTGGAGATATAGAGATGATCGGAGCTGCTTCAACATCTACAACAAATCACGTTCCTTCTCCAATTGTACAACACCCTGTAAGCACTAGAGAACCAAGAATTGCCTTACCCGAGAAATTTGATGGTACGAGATCTAAGTTTCGAGGGTTCATCAATCAAGTACAATTGGCAATTGAACTTCAACCGCAAAGCTATCCAACTCCAGGATCACAAGTCAGGTTTATTGGCACTCTACTTTCTGGTTCTGCATTATCATGGTTTTCATCTTTTCTTGAACAACGAAATCCAATATTGGACAATTTGGAAGCTTTTTTGGCGGAATTTCGATCTATGTATGGTGAACACGATGCAACTCGTGTTGCAACAAATAAGATCCGAATTCTGCGACAAGAAAATCGCTCAGTAATAGTGTATGCTTCACAATTTTGACAACTTGCAATTGACATCAAGTGGAATGATGCTGCACTTATCAGTCAATTTCTTTATGGATTGCAATACGAAGTAAAGAAATTGATGCTCAACTTACCTGATCCTCAAACTTTGAGTCAAGCAATCGATTTTGCGGTAAAATGTGATAATCAACTTTTTGAATTTTGATCCGAGAATCATTCACGGAAACCTCAACGTTATTACTCAATGGCAACATCAACATCTTTGCCAAACGTACATTCGGAAGTAGAAGACATGCAAATTGACGCGGTACGTTTTAAACCTCTAACTGAGCAAGAAAAGATTCGTCGTCGTCAAGAAGGATTATGTTTATATTGCGGAGAACCTAAGCACACTGCTCAACATTGTCCAAAGAAACGACGCAACTATAAAATGAGGGGTACGACAGTCAAAGAAGACAACATGTCGGAAAACGGATTCGTCCAGCTACAATAGGGACCGTGCAGCTGGAACCTTGTACAATTCCTAATGAAGGTCCTATCCTCTCCTCAGAA